GTTAACATAGATCTAAAGATTCTAATAAACGTGATTAATTTTGGTAATTTACATTGTAGTATTATATTAAGGTCTTATAGTATTATTAACTGATTAAATTAGCTAGATAACAAAGATTTATAGGTAAACTACCAAAATAACAAAAAAAAGATGAGATTCCCTTGCAACACAATAGGTTTATTAGCTAAGAGTTATATTATTTTTCTAATTATCCATAAAATTCTTTGCTATCAATCCTAATTTCTTTTAATATAATAGGTTAAAATGTAAACGAAATTAAATTCGAAAAAAAAGAAGAAGAAGCAAATTCAATACGTTATGATATCGGAATTTTTACTATTATACATCATCATTTAATTATAAAATTTGTTCGTGTGGTTTTTTAGCTAAAAGGTTACTAATGTATTGTAGATAATATATTAATCTACTGATTTATATTTTTTGTTAATTAGAAAAATTTCAGATCGAAATCTACATATATTAGGGTTTAGTCATTAAAATGTTAATGATTAAAATCGAAGTAGAAGTGTTTAAATTATATTATAAAAAATATCTAGAGTGAATCATTTAACCGTTATCACTTAATTAAAGTTTAACACTTTATGTTAGTATTAACACAAATTTATATAAAAGAATTCATTAATGTATTTATTATTGTTTAAAATTAAAATAAATTTAGCAAAAAAAAAAGAAGTGGACCTAAGCGAAAATGAAATTGAACTACTTTTTTATGTTTCATGTCGTGGTCGTAGTTTCCACCTGTGGTCTTCTCTATATACCTAACCATCCAGCTTATCTTTAATTTTCTTTGGAGATCTTCTCCTTTCTTTTTTCTTTTATCAAAATATTAAACATTGTGTTAATATAATTAGTTGACAAAACTTTTCCAATAAAATTAAAGGAAGTGGACAAAACGATTCCAATACAAAGACTTTATTAAAGTTTCAATGATTTCTAGAAGGATAATGTTTTATAACCAAGATCAACTGATATTTAACAGTTTTTTTCCCCTCTCCCTTTTTTTGTTTTTGTTTTTGTCGTTCTCCCTCTTCTTTTTATTTTATTTTATAATATAGATAATGAAAGGGTTAATTTGGTTACTAACCAAAAAAATTAAATTAAATTAAATAACTAACCAAAATTTATCCATGTGGCAAAATGACAACCCTTGAATTTAGGGGTTTTGGTTAGTGATTTAGTTTTCTTTTTTTTCTTGGTTATACTGCCAAATTCCTATAATGAAATAAATATGGGTTAATAACAAAAATCTTTCTCCACTAGGAAAAAAAAACGACACTTGCAAAACATTAGTGATAAAGAAAACTCTATGAAGTGATAGAAGATAGACCTATAAATTTTTTAATGCGTACTGGTCTCTTGTCTAGGGTAAGCTTTTATTTTCTTTATGGTTAATGGTAACCTTTAATTTATATCTTTCGCATAAGACAAATCCATGATAAAAAGATCAAAAGTAATACGTACGAAACAACCTACTAATCTTAAACATGAATATGCTACATTAAAATCTTTATACTTCGTCTCAATATGTATGCGGTATGTAGGGAATATAAAACCCCAAAAAAAAAGCTCAATCGGTCGGTATATAATATCTAATTCGTGATAATATAGATCCTATAATCAGACTTTTCCAAATTAAATCGATTGATCTTAGGTCGATGTGACATGAGCTATCTCACTAGAATGTCATTGTTAAATGTATTTATCAAATATAAATAGGCTCACATGCATTTGTAACGTGGAAAAAACAGCTTTGACTTCGATTTATTGAAACCAAAGGAATATGTCAAAAATAAATAAAAACAGAATAATATTGAACAAAATGTGACTCTGAGGTAAATAAATGTATTGAATTGGATGAATGAAGAAAAAAAATAATCTAGCTCAATTTCTTAGATTGCAAATGATACTGACTAAATTACCGAACCTAGCATAATTTTGTTTTTAAATGTAGCTATTTGGGTTAATTAGCTCAATATTATTTTTAGAAAAAGAAATTAGAAAACTAACATGTCGATAATAAAATTTTGGTAACTAGCAGAGATATAAAAAAGTAGAACAAAATTGTTTTTATTGAAGTTATTAAGGAAAATGGTAAAAAATACCCCAAAAAAATCAAAAAAAAATTTCTTAAAAAAAGAAATCTCTATTAATCCTGGTTGGCGGCGTATCTTGAAAACAAGATTCAATAGGTATAGTTAACTATATTCGATTTCTTTTTATATTGTTATAGTTAGCTAAAATTATAATCAAAATAGTGAACTATTTCTTTCAAATAATAATANAATCCANTATACAAANGTTAGTNAGCTATTCAAATATTAATATAGTTCACTATATAAACATTACAATAATCATTTCAGTTAAATATATTCATCTATAGTGATCAAAATACGNATAGTTAGCTATTATCTCATAAACNGTGATCAAAATAGTTCACTNTACAAACGTTAGTTAGCTAACTATTCATATATATGTAAACGTTAGTTAACTATTCAAATAATAATATAGTTTACTATATAAACATTACAATTATCAATTCACTTGTATTTTTTGNNTATATNTTTATCAGTATCATTAATCAATATAGTTAGCTATTATCTCACCATTATCAAAAAAACGTTACATAGATCCACATACATTAGTTATACTATATAGTTAACTAATCAAGTTAATTGCAGTGAACAAACTATAGGATTTGTTTACTGTAATTCCATAGCCACATCAAAATCCAAAAATTTGAT